CATGAATGTAAAGATAGAACATAAGTTGCTAACTCTAGGATATTTGGTGTAGTGTAAGAGAGGTGTATATTGTAAAGAAAGTGGCTGATTAGTGGGATATAACAAAGAAGTCTATATACCAACTTTGGAAATAGTTGAATGCAAAGATAGAACATAAGTTGTTAACTCTAGGATATTTGGTGTAGTGTAAGAGAGGTGTATATTGTAAAGAAAGTGGCTGATTAGTGGTTTATAACAAAGAGTCTAAGTACCAAGTTTGGAAATAGTTGAATGTAAAGATAGAACATAAGTTGTTAACTCTAGGATATTTGGTGTAGTGTAAGAGAGGTGTATATTGTAAAGAAGGTGGCTGATTAGTGGGATATAACAAAGAAGTCTAAGTACCAAATTTGGAAATAGTTGAATGTAAAGATAGAACATTAGTTGTTAACTCTAGGATATTTGGTGTAGTGTAAGTTTTGTCATTGTAAGTGAAACAGAAAGGTAAACCTTCAGTAACAAAGCCATTTTATAGAATATTAGGATTTCTCTTATTTCATGAGATGCATTAATGTTGGATCTTGTCTAAGAAAAGCATTGATATCATAGGCTATTTCTTTGAGTGGATGTTAAACGACACTTGATATGAGATTAGATAAATAGGAAAACTATGGAATGGGAACCTGTATTCTGGTAGGATAAAATGTGTCCATCAACTACTGGTGACAGACGATTCTACTGGCTTGGGAAGTAGTCACCAGACTAGGTCTTACTTACGTACAAAAAACATATTTGAAGACATAGCATTCAGATTGATAACAGTCTAACAGAAAGAACTAGATGACAGGTGAAGAACGTGTGACATTGTTGCACATAGAACAATACAACAATTACAGATAAACAGTATGTACTATCAACAAGAAATATGGTCCATAGTGATGAAAAGTAACAATAAAAACTCAAACGTCATACTATTAAAAATAAAGTTCATGCATTGGTAATTTAGCAGAAGTAAAACAATTGTTACATTCATTTGTCTGTTCACCTCACCTGGTGACAAAGTTCCTTTCTGTTCACGAAGCTTCTAATACAGTCTGATCATTATGATATCATCCCATTACCACAAAGAAAGAAAACTGTGTCCTGAGAACATGTGTGCTAATAAAGATGATTATAAAATCCTACTATTAGATTTGGGTAGCCGAAGAGTTGGCGTTTGGGTGCTTTAGACTATACACCCTCCCTCTATTATATGTGTCCAAGACTAAGGACGGCTAGCACAGAAAGCCGTTGTTTAACTTTGCGCGAAATACAAACAAAATTTCACATGTCGTGTCATTCTTTGTGTGGTGTTGTACGGGTTTTATGTAATTAATAACTTCCGATGAAAACAAACAATGTAGGTAAAAAATCAATATTAATCAGTATAGTTAATGACAAATATTATAATACATTGTTTTATTAGTGGGATACAAGTCTGAATTTGGTTGACAGAAAATGTTTAATGGAGCCGTGAAATAAAAGTATGGAGAATTAAACATTAGCAGCTGAAACATAATTAGTTTGTATATAGAGTATTATTTTTGTTCATCATTGTAAGAAGAATAGAGAAAAAGAGTAAACTGGCTAATACTGTGGTTTCAGAATGTAATATTTGATTATGTTGATGGGGCATAAAATAATTGGGTCTTGTGATTTAAATACAGAGATTTATAAGAGAGGTAGACACACACTGGAATGGTAGGGTGGATTATTTTGTTATAGTTAATATAGTTTTCTTGTGACCTGTGTCTTGACAGTGTAGAACCTACAGGTTTATCCAGTAAGGTTTATGTAGGTAACCAGTGTTGACAGTGTAAATTGAGTAAACCTGTAGGTTCCGTAGGTAACCAGAAGATTAAATAAAAGTTTTCTCTTTACCTCAGGTGCTGCCTACTGTCAGTTCATGGACATGCTGTTTCCAGGTAAGGTGATCTAACTGTAGTTTGGCTACCTGTTAATACCAATAAGTAATAAAGTTTCACTTGGGATTGTGTAAAGGAATCTAAATATTTATTGGAAGGTGTTGGTTGTTCTACCTATCCGTGTAAAGGATTATAAATGTTTATTGGAAGGTGTTGGTTGTTCTACCTATCCGTGTAAAGGATCATAAATGTTTATTGGAAGGTGTTGGTTGTTCTACCTGTCTGTGTAAAGGATTATGAATGTTTATTGGAAGGTGTGGGTTGTTCTACCTGTCTGTGTAAAGGATTATGAATGTTTATTGGAAGGTGTGGGTTGTTCTACCTGTCTGTGTAAAGGATTATAAAATGTCCATGGGGGGGGGGCAGGTTGAACTATGTGTATAAAATAAAAGTGTTAATACTATAAATAAATTACTTTATAACACCAAAGTGTTATGTAATTGGACACTCGATGTTTCACTTTACAGCTTCTTCAGGAGCGTTCACTGAAACACAAACCGAAACTGGTGGTACAAAGCTTTAAATTAAGGTCGTTTACTTCTTGTATTATTATGTCTTCTATACACCAACATGCACTACAGGAATTAAATAATGAATATAAAAGTGTTGTGTAAATTATTGGTTTAACTCCTCCAAAAAAAAACTTCCCAATTATTGAATCAAAATACATATTTCATGCTCATATTACCTATAATTGGTATGATGTTCCAAGTTTAAGTATATGCTATTGCCAGTTATACAATCACTCTTTCTTCCGACTTTATAAAGTAAAAACAAATTAAAACACGATAGCCAAAAAGTTAATGCTATGCAGAGAAATTCTATAACATAGAAAAGGTAAAAAAAAGAATTCAACTATTTTCAAAAAGTCTTTACTTAATAAAACTGGTTTATTCTTTCCGAATATAACTTTACGATACACTTATTTTCAACAATCGCGCTAAAACAAACGCTATATCAACAAACGTCAATAATACTTCTGACTGCAGCTCAATTACTCACTATCTACACACACATTATTCTGTCACGTTGTCACCCTCTCTTATATACCAGACTACCCTATATCTAGTAAATGCTAGAGCATTCGCCAAGGTACAGGATAGTTCTAGGAACGTGGCGTCACAGTAATCATGTGACTCGCTGAAGCAACAATATATATCATCAGAACTCATCTGGTTTCTTCTAATCCTTCTCTTGCAAAACAGTAACACGACACACTATGCACTTCAAGCAACGTATTACACTTGACATTGCAGATCTAATACAAGCAGAGATTTAAAAAAATCCTTCATATGTCATGCTACGAAACTACATAATTCCTCATATCCGCATTTTATCATTTTCATTTAGTTGTAATGGAAATTAGACGGTCAGGTATAATTGTTTCACGCATTTGACAATGTTTTAAAAGTGTTAAATTTCCTGGTATCTAAAAAAATTCCAAAATTCACTGAAAAACTCTTTTACAAAACTGAACTTACCAGCCCTTCCAATAGGTCGATCATTAGCAGCACCAACAGAAATGCCCCCTCTTGCCTCCACAGGATCATACTCTCGTCCATCGTAGTTAGCATCAAAGAATTTCTTAAACCACTGGAGAAACTCAAAGTTGTCTTGGAACCTTCCTTTTACAAGTTTGTCAATTGGAATGATCTGTACAGAGAATTATTAAAATGCTAACACATCAATACTATTTTTGTTCTACAGCATGGTAATGAAAAACATGACTATAACTATTACACTAAGTTCCTTTTTTTTTGCCTCTGATAGAGATACATTTCTATTTATACAGCCCTGTCTAGGATAATTAAGTAATCTGAAATCTTTTAATACTAAGCTTTAGTGAACAGAAGATATACATAATTCTGAAATACTTGAGAAAATTTTATATTTCATAATTTGAACTTTTCAGTGGACAAAGTAATCCATTAGTCACAAAAAAAACTTATTGAATTTTGTTGTTAACAACTATATAAGAACATCTTTGTAATGTTAGTATGTCTATGTTTCTAATGAACCTTACTTTGTCTGCTCCCACTTTCTTAAAAGCTGCCTGAAGGACTTTAAAGTTGTTTATGTATTCATGTTCTAGTTTTGTTTTGAACTTCACCTTCTTCAAAGAAATGCAGCCTGAAATAAATGTTTCATCATAGATAAAACACTACTCAAACTCAAAGTAACAAGTAATCAAACAAAATACATTAGCATCTATCTACTGAGCAATGATCAGCTGTTCCAAATGTTACATTTGTTTAACGACCATCAATTAGAGCAATAGTGGAGAGTATGCCAAGTCTGTGAAACTGAGTTCAGGATTTGTAACTTAGTGCTACAAAAACATGCTCCACATACTAGGGCCTTGAATGTACTATAAGAGTGGCTGTCAAATCCCACTAACTGATCAGACGAGAATAATCCAAGAATGGGTGTTGACTAGCTGCTTTCCCTGTATTCTTTCAGCTCAAATTTATTGATAGCTTTGTGCAGAAAGCTCTTGTGTAGCTTTGCATGAATTCTGAAACAAACTATAACAGTACTTACTTGATCCAAAAAATTATTTTATTTAGTTAATAACTATCAGTATGTATTAGTCAGCTGTCCCCAAACATCAAATTTATCTACTTAATGACCATCACACATAACAGTAATTCATTTGTTTCCAAAAGCCATTTTTTACTTGCTTAACTGAACGTGCATGGGGTCAGTACAATGACAAATATGAGAAGTACGGATAAGCAGAACGAAACAGCTCAGATGGAAAGAAAACATCTACTTTTGATTGACTTATTAGTAATAAAGACCAAAATGGTCAGCCTATTTTTTAACATGTGATCACTAATTTTATTGCAGTAAAAGAATGTTCCCAAAACATTTCAGCTAGATAAAAAATAAACTTCTTAACCCTTTATAATTAATGCTTACAATAAAGTTGGCAAATCCAGATAAAAAGAATCCCTTTTCAACATTGTGAGCTAATTAAGGGCACAACAAAGCCTGCTTATCTCAGAAATCTGCATTTAGTTTCTTAAACCTGACACAACTCTCAATTACCTTGGGTTTAAAAGAATACAGAATTTGTTTATTTAAGCCTTAAAATCTTGAACAGAAAATCCTTACTATAAATGTTGAATGACATAATTAGAATAAAAACACTGAAAAAAAAAGAAGTGATGAAGAGGTTGTCATACAAATCATTTTCACATCTACTGACTGTAGTAGTCCCATATTTATGCTATACCAACGAATGATCCAAGATTTTAAAAAATATAATTAACATAAAAGCCACTCATTACCTACAAATTCCAACTATGGATATCTAATATAGATATATGTGTAGCAATCTTTGCCTAAAGACATTCAAACTCAAGTGTTATTTAACATTAATTAGGTAGATACATTCCAGCTGGAGTGTCTCTTTACAATATAAAATATAAGTAAATTCCATATCCATAACATCTCATTTGGATTCTTATGTAGCATTAAGATATAAATAGAAATAATTATGGAAGTGTCCACTTAAAGGAGTCGCAAATCAAAAATAATGGCAACTACATGATGAACTTATTAACTGCACAAATCATTATCACCAAAAATTAATAGATGTCCGATATACTAACATTCTGTACGTGAGCCCTAGTTGTACCGAACACCAGTAATGTGTACGTGAGCCCTAGTTGTACCGAACACCAGTAATGTGTACGTGAGCCCTAGTTGTACCGAACACCAGTAATGTGTACGTGAGCCCTAGTTGTACAGTACACTAACATTTTGTACGTGAGCCCTAGTTGTACCGAACACCAGTAATTTGTACGTGAGCCCTAGTTGTACAGTACACTAACATTTTGTACGTGAGCCCTAGTTGTACAGTACACTAACATTTTGTACGTGAGCCCTAGTTGTACAGTACACTAACATTTTGTACGTGAGCCCTAGTTGTACAGTACACTAACATTTTGTACGTGAGCCCTAGTTGTACAGTACACTAACATTTGTAAGTGAGCCCTAGTTGTACAGTACACTAGTAATTTGTAAGTGAGCCCTTTGTTTTACATAGGACATTACATATTGTTTTCTACATGCCGTAAAGTTTATCAAAGTACGATTTTTTATTTTTATGATTATTTTTATACCTTATTGTTATTCAATCCTTACATTTAGTTGATAAGAGCACTGTCGTACATGTTTTCTCAGTTGGATCGACAGGTCCCTTACCACAAAAAGTTCAATATTGCGAAAGCAGAATAATATCACTAATTATAATTATTTGAAACCAATTAAATGTATTGAAATTATTTTTCAGTCACTAGAAGAGAAAAGAGAAACTATCAGATTATTAAAACAACATGTTCAATTATGAATTTATTTTTCATAAAAATACGAAATACAAATAATTCAAAATTACTTAAGCATTAAAAATATCAGGATACATAATAATAATTATTATTATGATCATTATTTGTTATTAGCATGAATACGATTATTACTATGATGTGAATATTTTTATATAGATTTGAGTTGGAAATTCCAGAATGATTATTTCACCAGATTATAGGGTTTCTGAATCATTTTATAAGTTTGCTGATCAGATATCAAAAGAATTGATTCAAATGGGACTCTGACTCAATTCCCATAATTCACTGTAATTAGTTGTTCAAAAACAGTAAGCCACTCATGAAAGGCAAGTGATGATACTTACTTAACAAATCCTATGCTTTAGGAAAGTCAAAAAACTTTAAAGAAATCATTAAGTGCATAATTTATAGGATCCTCAGACAATGCGAGTTATAAGCATTCTGAGGGTTAACTCAGATTTTTTTACAGATTGATTTAAAACCAAAATAGAACCGAGTCATGATGTCACAGGCCTGGGGATTTCTCACTGACTCTGGGTTTTGTGTATTTACATGGATTGCATGTGCCTAAAACTGCTAGTGACTGTAATGTTTATATTATTTCACATACAAAATTCAGTTTTTGTAGTTGTAGCTTTTTTACACAAAGATGAAATTCAAACATTCTATTATAAAAACACTATTTTAAGAAAGAAAAAAATGCTTGCTGGAAAAACAAATCTCGAAACAGTATCTTAAAATCATTGTCAGAGCCACATATAAGTAACTAACACACATTCTAAGCATACGGGTTGTACTTAAGATACCGTTGAAAGAGTTATTACATTGATATACATAGACATTTTAAAACATTCCAAATGTTCAGGATTGGGTACAAAAACATTAAATTGAAAGATTTTTCTGTCTGACAAACTCTTCTGTAATTAACATTTTAGGACATTCTGCCTTTCCAAGTAGAACATATCAAACACCTCAGTTAAAGCTTGTGTCGCTAAAGTTTCGTCGGAACGAAGTTACGGAAAGTTAATTAACAAACGGAGACGTAACAATATGTTTGAATGCAGACACGCTGAACATAGTCTCACTTTTTGGCATGTTTACATTCTAGGTGAAGCAAGGGATGGTAACTATCGCGTATTTCTTGGTATCAGACTCTCTCTCCAAGATTGTTTTATTAATAAACTAGCGAAAAACCCGGCATCCCTCGGGATATTAGGTTGATATATTCTAGATGACTATGTCAGTGTGTGTATTCTGAACCTATTGTAGCACAGAAGAACAATCAAAAATATTTTAAACATTTTTCTTTTCAAGAAACATAAAAACAGTAAAGAAAGTACAGTAAATTAAGAATTATTTATTATCAAAGAACTTTCATTGCGTTAAATATTTCACATTTATATTTGATATCACAAATTTCTATCATATTTTATGAGAATCTGTTACAATTTTTTTACCGTTGCAGTGCTTCAAGTTAGACAGTATTGGTTGTTTTCCCAAAGAAATTTCAGACAGACATACAGGCAGCTCTATATTATTATTATTATATAATACAATGATAGAGTTATTAGGTTGATATATTCTAGACGAATATGTCAATGTGTGTATTCTGAACCTATTTTAGCATAGAAGAATAGTCAAAAAATTTTAAACACTTTTATTTCTCAGAAGCATAAAAAAAGTCGCAAAAGTACGATGATAATAAAATTATTATAGATAATTATAGATGCCTTTATACGTCACGTTATCTATATAGAACCCAGTGTTGTCTCGAAATAAAAAGGAGTCATCAGTGCTGGATTTATTATTCGATTTATGTACATATTTCTTATATTTGAAAGAGCCTCCATAAGGACATATGCTTCAGGGCTTCCACATACCTTAATCCGGCCCTGGGAGTCATAAAATGCATTTATCCAGATAGAATAGTTCGTTTTGTAGTTTATACATTTCATTTTATACTTTCAGCACATAGACTAACAACAATATTAGGTTATACTTTTGTTGCCAAGCAACATGAAGGTCATTTGTTGGAACGCATTGCTTCCAAATCTCGCTGGCTTTTTTCTATTTGTTAGAAGTTGTTATATAAGTTTGTTTCATTAAAAAAAGAATGAGCAGGCTCATGCTTGTCTGTCTGTGATTTCTGTTTGTAATATAAGGAAATACACCATTAAATAATGTTTGATACAATTATTGTAACAGTATAGATTCTGAATGACCAAATTATTTACTCCATCGCGATGTTGAGAAAAACAGTGTTCACTGATTTGGTAACCAAATCTAAAATGCCAAACATAAATCAAAAATTCATTCTGAATGTTATTACGAAAAACTATAGTCATTATTAGATAGCTAAGAAAGTGTCACTGATGCACCAAAAACGTAGTAACGATATTGCTAAAAGGAACAGTATTATCACAGTTTTGGAAAATAAAACTGTCACCGTTACACAAAGGTCGATTCTGCTATTGTTGAGAGAAATAATATTCACTGACTTGGCAACTAAGAAGATATTGTTGGTACACCGAAAAGTTTCTACTGATGTTGTTGATTATTCTTGACTTGATAGTACCTCAGTTCATTCATATATCAAAACCTTGGTAACAATATTCACACTTCTTTTCTATGTGGTTTTTCGCTAGTTTGTCTCATAAAAAGATGCGCGCGCACTTGCGTGTCTGTCTGACTGTCTGTGATTTCTATTTGTGATATAAGGAATCACTTCATTTCTATGTGGTTTTTCTCTAGCTTGCCACATTATCCACGCACGTGGATAAGTAATAATACTAAGGTGCACACCCTCATG